CGGTATTTTATACAAGGGGAGTCATACAGTATTTGTTCTTTTTCGACTGACTTCTTCCACTTAGCATGAAGTTTCCATGGTTCCTTTATGTCATAGCATGTGTGGGAAAGTCATTCCTTTTTAAGGTTAAATAATGTTCCTTTGTATGTGTATTCCCTATTTAGTTTATCTATTGCTTGGTAGATGGAAATCCACTTCCTGGCTGAGTCTCAAGTACCATTGGAGACCCCAAGGGTGGGATGCCCTATCTAGTGATGCCTATTGAAAACCTTGACCCAGAGCTTTCTCAGCCCATAGACAGGGACAGCTGCACTGTGGCAAAAGACACACCGGATCTGTCATTAAGAAACCTAGGTGCCCATCCCCTGGGCAAGAGGTGCAGCCCCTATCTTCTGCACAATGAGGAAGTGGGGTTGTGTGTCTCTTGATCTTACAGCTTTGAACATTCTACACATCTGTCAGTCTCCTGAGAGAGCACTGCTTCAATGTGGCCTGGGGCTGAGCAGACTCTCAGGAAGTGTTTGTGATGCAGGATGAATGCACGAGAGGATCGGAGGGCGAGGAGCTCAGGTCTCTTAGCTGGAGAAGAGACCGGAGACTGTAGTTAGAGGTCAGGTTGAACAGTACTTATGTTATGAAACCATCTGGAAAACAGTGTGCTGTGTGAAGTATTGTTATTGTGTCTATTGTCTTTTCCCTTGTACCTCGATAAAATCGTGTAAATGAGCTTCTCATCAATTCTGTTTGATGTAGAATTCTTGGTAGCCTCAAAAAATGCATAAATTCAAGTAGGGACACAGTCTCTCTGGGTATGAATTCTCATACCTTGGCTCTTTCACAGCGCAAACCTAAAGCCTTGTAGTGCTCAGCACAGGAAGATGGGCATTTCACAGCTTTACAGTATTTGTAGCTGTGCTGCAGAAACGCACCTATATGTAATGACACATCAGTCCCTCCCTGGTTGTCCTTGTCCTAAAAGATCTAAACTAACCTAACTTCTGCTCCTAAGGAGTTTGTGTTCCCCTAAAGCACCATTATTAATAATTTTTAGATGATGGGTATTTTTATTATAATGTTTATTTGCACTTATGATGAGTCCCAGAACAACAGGAAGAGAAAGTGAAAAAGAGCTCTTAGCTCCATTCCAGGTCCTGGGATCTAGCTGTACCTTTGCCACATCTGCACCACAGGCTGGTGAGCAGCATCCTCACTTGCCAAAGCATTTCAGAGGTGTTTCAGAAGTCATCTATAAGTTGGAACACTTTGCTGTTCCAAGTTATCAGAAAAACTACAAAAGCAGTGATCCCTCTTCTTGAGTAAAATTGTATGCAGAATCCAGCAGGTAAAGTCAACGAAAGTCTTCCAGAGTGGTTGGTAAAGGCAGCCACTACTTTTGTGTGTGTGCGAGTGTGTGTGTGTTCTCTGTTCATATTCCATCATATTAGCTCTCTGGACTCTATTTAGCCAGTTAGGACTCCTTGGACAACTCAACCCAATGTGGGTTAACGTGGCATTGCTCTGGCTTAAGAGGGGATGAGGCGTCAAAGCCCTGTTTTTTCAGCCTTCCCCTCACCTGTTCCAAAAACATGCTAGGAGCCTAGGTCTGTGAGTGTGCACGTGTGTGTGTGTGTGTGTGTGTGTGTGTGTGTGTGTGTGTACACACAGATACGTAATTTTAAAAATTTTGTGTACATAAGAGGAAACAGACGCAGAGAAGTAAAGTGACTTAGCCTAAGCCACACATATCAGTTGGTGGTGAATTAAGATTATTGAGTCTTACCATCAAAACATTGTCTATCAAAATCTCTGTCCCCTAGGAGCTTATGATACAGTTGACCAGGTGGGACATGTGTGCATGGGAGGATAAATGGAAAGCTAAGATAGTGCATGCTCATCCATGCCGAGCTCCTTTGGAAGGCATTGTCCTCCTGGACTGAGGCTCCCTCTCCACTCAGATTCTGAGCTCTTTATCTCAGCTCTCCAGCACCCAGCCACATACATAAGCACATTTGTGAATGTTTGAGTGAATTTTTGATTGAGTGATTCACTGATGTGTGGGGTGGATCCTTCTGTATCACTATGTGTTATTTACCAGGGTGTGGAACAGATGTCACATGGCATGGAGTAAGGAACAGCCTTCATTAGGAAAACTTATGTAGGCCAAAGTTAATTAAGAGAAGTGTCACATATCCCCCAATCCCCATATCTCACAAAGTTATGCAGCAGGTCCAGGATGCTGCTGAGTCTGCATCCCAGTGGAGGGCCCCCTCCTCCCCTACGGTGCTGTCTTTTTAAAGGGCACATAAGCAAGGGAAAGTAGTCTTGTCAATGAGGGAATAAACAGACTGCTTGGTGCCGGGCAGTCTGGATTGGGGGTGCCAGCTGTTTATAGGAAGTTGTCTGGGAATGCCAGCTTCCTAGCATGTAGGGCCCTTGGAGTCTTTGGAGTATTGATGTTCTCCTGGAGGGGGAGGAAGGACTCTGAGCTTGGGTGCTGTCTCTCCCAAAAAGTTCATTTCTAGGCCACCCAAAGAGAACTCCATGTCACTTTCTGACAATTCACTTAGTTGTACCATCCTGGTCTTGAATAACGGAGTAGATGGATGGATGGATGGATGGATGGATGGATGGATGGATGGATGGATGGATGGATGGATGGATGGATGAGTGGATTGGTGAATGATTAGATGGATGGATAAATGGGTGGGTGGGTGGGTGAATGGGTAGGTGGATGGGTGGATGGGTGGACAGCACAGGAAGTCGGCTTGCTCATGGGGTGGGGGCAAGATGACTGGGGCTGAGTGGCTGTTTGATAGCTCCTCCCTCTCTTGCCTTCTACAGGTATCCTCAGCTTGCAGCTGCCCTTCTGTAAGATGTCTTCCCTGTTATCATGGCCTCATGTACGCTCTAACCCAGTATCACCTAATTTGAAAAGGCTGATGCTTCCACACATCATAGATTGTTCCTGGGTCACAACCACCAAGGCAGCTACATCCGCAGACCCACTGTAGGGTACTAAAAGGGAAGGATAAAAGATGAGTCTTCTAGATGGTGACTGAATCTGAACCCTCCGCTCCTTTCCTGATACTGCCTGATGGAGGCCTTTGTCAGCACCTGTGCTGGTGGCTTCCCTCAGATTTTGAGTTGCCTCAGAAACACCTGGAATCGTCTATAATACATATTGCTATGCTTCATGGCCAGGAGATCTATTTATTAGGTCTGGATGGGGCCCAGAAGTCTGCAGTTTTTAGCGTAGCATCTTCAAATTGCGTCATTCAGAGCTGGGCACAGTGAGGCCAGAGCTCATTAAATGTCTAGGAGATGAGAAAGAGTGACTGGGGCAGAGGGTACCTGTCCCTGCAGAATTACCCGTCACACTCCCAAGTGCCCCAGATTTAGAGCACCCTGCCAGCCAGCTTGGCAGGAGAGGTGGGCCTTTGCAGGCCATGCCCCTTTCCAGAATGTGCATGGACCTGGATGTCTTTAGTGAGCTCCCTCTGACCTGGCAGAAGAGGGGGGCCTGGTGATTCTGAGTTTAGTGTCTCCTGGGGACAGTGGATGGGCAGCCCTGCTTTGGAAAACCTGCACCTGAATGCACATGGACAAGTATTTGGTGGCTCCAATGAGATTGGAGCTGAAGCTCTTGCAGAGAAAAGCAGTGGAGCATGAAGGCATCCAGGCAGCCTTTGCCTGGTGGGGGCCATTAAGGCTCTGTGCTGGGGGCTGAGGAGAAGGGAGCAATTAATGGTGAGGGAAGTGAGAGAATCAGCACAGGGAGTCGGCTCGCTCTAATTGAGTCAATGAGTTTGCCCTGTGGACTGTGGCACCCAGGGACAGGAACTGCATCCTTAAATGCAAAGCCCTTCTTCAAGGTAGCAGGGAGAGAAAAGATAACCCTCTGCTCCTTGAGAAAAGAGCTGGCCTTTTCTATTCATCACCCACCCTGGCGACTGCTTCCACGGTCAGGTGGCTCGTTTCTTTGGCAGACCTGGTCTGTGTCTTTGGGCAGAGTCTCGTCTGCTCACGGAAGAGATCTCAAATTTCTCGATCCATGTATATGAGCAGGTTGTCTTCTGGCTGCTGTGACAAGACCTTCAGTGTCTTGATTTCTTTGTGGCTGGCTGTATTGCTGCTGTTATGGAGGGTACTCAGCTGGTACCCTCCCAGAACCCTGTCTGTGACCTTCACTATTTTTTACTGCAGAATCGAGGCATGTTGAAAATCATGGGGTTCTGCTCCAGCCCTTTGCTCAGCATCCTTCTCCTCTCTCTTGGTGTTTTTTCCCTTTAGATCAAGACATTATGACTTTTCTTCAAAGAGGGTACAATAAGATGTTAATTGGTTTAATAAGATGTTTAGAAAACAATGTGAATTTGTGTACCACCCTAATATTTATAATTTAACAGAGAACTTTGAACACACACACACACACACACACACACACACACACACACACACCCTTTAATCCATAGTGGATTGGAGCTCTTATGGTTGAAGAAGTTGTGGATTGGAGGTCCACTCTTTAGTATTCCTTATGTCTACCACAGAGGAGGGAGCCTTCTCTTTCATCTGCCATCATGTGTTCTTTGTTTGTTTGTTTGTTTGTAGTTGGAGCCGGACAACATGCCTTTATTCTATTTGTTATTTTTTTTACGTGGCGATAAGGATGAAACCCAGTGCCTTGCATGTGCTAGGCAAATGCTCTGCCACTGAGCCACAGCCCTTGTTGTGTGTTCTTAACGATGGGATTACATTCTGAGAAATGTGACATTAGGTGATTTCAGTGACATCATGGAGTGTACTTACACAAACTAAGATAGCTATGATGTCACTAAGTGACAAAGTCTTGTGGAATTTCCATTGTATTTGCAGTCTGTGGGTGACTGACATGCCTTCATGTGGTACCTGACCCTACGTGTGAGATCTGCTGGTTCAGAACTTTCCACATCCCTAGTCTAATGACTTATTTTTTCTCTTTTTTTTCTGTTTTTGTTTCCTAGGAACGAGTGGAATATCTCTTTCTCATAATTTTTACTGTGGAAGCATTTTTAAAAGTAATCGCCTATGGTCTTCTCTTTCACCCCAACGCTTACCTCCGCAACGGTTGGAATTTACTAGATTTTATAATTGTGGTTGTAGGGTAAGTATATCTGTCTTTCTCCTTTCCTTGCCTTACCCGAGCACACCTCTTTCTCCCTCTCCTCGTATCTCTTTTTGATTTGGTCATACCTGTACTAGCCTTCAGGCAATGAAAGGATGTTAACAATCACTTTGAGTTCAGACTTTTTCTGAAGGGAGAGGAGCTATTACCTAACAGCACCACTCCCACATGCATCAGCATGCACACACACACACACACACACACACACACAGAGGCAGATATATACACACATGCACACATGCATGCCCACAATATATACACAAATACTTGAATTTGTGTGCTCTTAATGGCACCAGGGTCCTCTGTGCAGATGAAGCAGTTCCTCTGCTTAACGACTTTTCTCTCCCCCTCCAACCACATCTGAGCCAGCAGTTCTTCTGAACAGCTTTCCCACTGTATCACTGAGCAGATTTAGTCAGGTTGCCCTGGGAGTATCCAGCCCACCCGTGTGGCATGATGTGAGGATGCCTGCCGAGCCTATGCCTTTGGTCCACAGATTGCTCATGTATACCATCCTGTCCCCAGCTCCACAGTGGGCCCTGCTCTGTGGCCCCAAGAAACCAGATTGCTTGAGACAACTAAGTGAGAAGGAAACAGAACTCTGAAAGGCCAAGGTGGTGGGTAAGTCCACCCGGCCTGAGCTGAGGTACCTTCCTCCAGATACTGTTCCATGTTAGGATGAGGCATAGTTGATAGTGGCTAAAAAAAAAAAAAGAAAAAAGAAAAAAAAAAGAAAGAAAAAAGCAGGGTCAAGAATCCCATTTTGGAAGTGACAATTTCCTTATCAAGAAGTTTCCTTTCAAGATTCTCGATGACATAGTTGTACCTCACAGGCCTGCATGCACTGTGTGAAATAGAATACCTTAGGACACAGTGGATGAAGTTCCAATGACTCCTGTGTTTTGTTGATAACGGGGGTCACCTGTCCAGCAGCTTCTCTTCAACAACAAGCTCGCTCTTCCAAGCTGACCTTGTGTTACTTGGTACCCAGCAAATGCTTCCATGGTGGCCACCCTGCATGATTCCGGGTCCCCACAGCATTCAGTAAGAAGAGCAGGATGTCAGGAGGCTGTTATACCAGGCGGCTATTTTTGGTGACTCCCTTTGTGCTATCCCAGTACACACCTGAGCCACTGCGGGCTTTAACAGAGCACTCGCCATTCATTATCTCGGGGGAGCGCCTGGTCTTTATGGCAGGAAATAACACAGGAGCAAATCAAGATTATTTACAAGTTATTTCCTTGTCCTTGGCCATCTGGCTGGCTCATAATAGTTGTTTGGAACGTGTTAGGGTTTTTCCTGTGTTGTCTCATGTTGCCTGGCCAATGAATGACGCATTTTGGCCACATGAACATCAGGGGCATTTGGGTGTCACGAGGAGTACTAAAGTTATTAGCCATTAATAGGTCTGGCTGCAGGGACCTGGGGTAAGGACACAGCTCCATGAGAGGTTTTGCCACCGCTGTTCATGCCAGAATAAACAGAGTGGCTAAAGAAACGTCTTGAATGAACTCAGCAAATAAACCCTAGCAAAAGTCCTAAAGGTGGGTTGTTTCCTGTACCCCTAAATCCTTTTTAAATTCAGCCTCTTTCTCAAGGCCTCAGTCTCCTGATAACCTGTGACACATGCAAAGACAGAAGCCTCAGGAATGAGAGTTGACACTTCTGGGACCAGTGGAGAGATGGGTTGACTTGCAGGACAAGTTCATAAACAAGGCAGAGATGCTCCGTGTTTATGAAAAGGGCTGAATTTGACTAGATATACTCTGCTCCATTCATGTCCTTACTTACCTGAAGCTTGAGAAAAGGAGACCAAAAAAGGGGAGACCTCAAATAGGAGCCCTGGGAAGGCAGGACCATGCCTTCCTGCTCAGGAGAACATGCATGGCTGGCCGATACTGCATGTTTGCAGGGTTTTTTGGCCCTTTCTTCATCCCTTAGAGTGTTGGTGCTCCCCACGTCGACAGGAGGCACACTTTTCATTGGTCCAGAGACTAGTCACTTCTCCCTGGGGTTTTGGCCCTGAGGCTGATGGAGACAGGGAGGCATCCAGATTTGGCTCTCTTCTGAAAGATGCCTCTGTGTAGTGTTTTAAACCACAGAGGTTATGAGGCCAACACTTGCTCAGCTTGCAGTTCACCATGACCTTTGGGGTGTCTTCTCCCTTCATCTCACACTTGGCCATATTTAGCAACTAGTTTATCTTTTCCAGGAGCCTTGATCCTAGGTGCTCTCCACCCAGTCTAAATCTCAGCTCATCCTTCCAACTAGAAAAATGATCCTCCATCCCCAGAGGGTGTAGCTCACTCCTGCTCTCCAGCCATGACTTTTTTCCTGCCCCCTTTATAGTATTCAATGAACCTCCCTCTGCTTTCCTGAGTCTCTTAGGAAATCCTGGGCCCCCTCCCTCTGTAGCTAGTTAACCGAAGTTTTCTTCTAGCCTCCTATAAATCAGAGAAGAGGTCAGGGCTGCCAGTCTGCCTCGGGGTATATCCCTCTTGTCTCTACATTCCCATTCTGGGGGCTTGTCACAGGAGTCATTTCCTTCTCAAAGCGGGGGAGTCCCCTTGGTGCAGTGGGGAGATGGGACCAATGAGTGAATGTGGAGGGGACTTAAAGGGCCTCTGTGATCTACCTCCCCTGAACCCAAGAACCAAGGACTCCTCAGTAGGTCCCTCACTCGGGAGATTCTACCCCACCACAAAGCCTTTAGTTACATCCCTGTCTCCCTCACAGCATGGCCTTGCCTTTCTGATTCCTTGGGTCCTATGGAGCCTCCTTGTCCTCCTCTCTTAAAGTTCCAGCAGCTGGCTGCAGAACTGCCCATCACCTCCCAAGAAACCCCCAGCCAAGCATCCACATCAGGACCCACCCCAGGGTCCAGCAGGCACAAAGCAGTGGTTTTGCCCTTACAACATCTAACCAGCAGTCCCCACCCAAACACTTGCTGTACCCATTTCTAAATTATCTATCCCTTCAAAATTGAAGGACAACACTTAATGAAAGAGTTTCAAGTTGGGGTAGGGGTTAATAGAGAAGAAAGCTGTCTCATTTCTGCTTCCTTCACTGAATAATATTTTGTGAACATCTTGTATTCCAATAAGCATATTGCTTTCTTCCAGGAAATACTGGGAACAAAATCTGGTTTGGATTTGGAATGTTGTTTGACCAGCTTGCAAGCTGGTCTCCATTTCCTCAGGTTTCAGTGATCTAGATTTCAGTGGAAAGAACACTTCTCTTGTAGAGAAAGGAATCCACTCCCCTGATCCTTGGCAACTTCTGCCTGGAACTCAAGACATAGGAATCCAACTAACATAGGAAACCATCAGATTGCCAAACTAAGTCACAGAATCAAAGAGTTAAGAGACTTGAGAGCTGGGTGTGGTGGTGCGTGCTTATAATTCCAGCAGCAGCTCAGGAGGCTGAGATAGGAGGATCGCAAGTTCAAAGTCAGCCTCAGCAATGACGAGGTGCTAAAGCATCTCAGTGAGACCCTGTCTCTAAATAAAATACAGAATAGGGCTGGGGATGTGGCTCAGTGGTTGAGTGCCTCTGAGTTCAATCCTTGGTACCAAAAAGAAAAAAAAGAGAGAGAGAGGAGAGAGAGAGAGAGAGAGAGAGAGAGAGAGAGAGAGAGAGAGAGAGAGAGAGAGAGAGAGAGAGAGAGAGACTTTAGATGTGGTCTGGCTATGATTTTCGTAACTTTATTTTTCTCAGTGCTGGGGATTGAACTCAGGGCTTCACATATGCTAGACAAGTACTTTACCACCAAGCTATATCCCCAGCCTGTATTTCCTTCTCTCTCTGGTGATGCTGGGGATTGAACTCAGAGCCTGTGCATGCTGGGCAAAACTTCTTTTAGGTGCAAAACACATTATTCAAAGTCTCACTCAGGCCAAGTACATAAAACAGATAGAAGGGGGCTAGGGACACAGCCCAGTGGCAGAGTCCTTCTCTAATAAGCTCAAGGCCCTGGTTTGATTCCTAGCACTGGGGGAAAAAAAGAAAACAGAAAGGAAGCCACTGTTAAGTCTGGGATAGTGGTACTAGAACCCCAGACATTCAATTCTGACCTCACTGCCCAAGAAGTCCCTTAAATCCTTAGTCTAAACCACCCCAGCATCGCCTGGCAGTGCCTGGCTCTGACTTCTGCCAGCCAGCCTTCAGCTGCACCTGGGCCCCTGTTCATAGCCCCAGTTTCCTGGAGCATGAGCTCAGGAAGCAAAGTTGCCCCAGGCCGTTGTTCAGATGTGATACCGCGGCACTCTGGGCTTCCTCCTTGGCCACAGGCCCCCCTAATGGAGAAACAATCCAGGACACATTCTGACAATGACTTATTGAGTCATTTCTAGGCATAAAGGACAGAAATTGCTGCTGCTGCCCTTTTCCCTATTTTTCTTGGTTACCACCCAAAGCCCAGAGTGCCTGGGTCATCCTTCATCACATTGAGTCCCTTTCCCATCTGATTATGTGAACCTGGGGTCTAACCTTCCCTCTCACCACCTCACTCCTGAACCCTTCGCAGTGTGCCCTCTGGTCCCCATCGTCATCATCTATTCAGGACAGCACACCTTGTCTGTAAAGGGCCAGATGCTGTTCAGCTTTGTGACCCACGCAGCCCCTGGTCCAGGGGTCTGTGGCTGTAGAGGAAAAGAGCCACATGGAAATGAGTGGGTGTAACTGAAGCCCAGGGAGACTTTGCGGGCCCCACTCCTGCCCTGCGTCTCAGCTGTGTTTCTGGTCACTACCTTCCCTTTCTGGCTCTCCCCCAAGCATGCTGCTTCCCTGCACCCCCTCAGGGGGTAGCACCACTCTCTTCCAGATGCGTCATTCCAGTGGAGGTGGAGAGTGGGAGGGGCCCTGCCTTCTCTTCCTTTCTGTTTTCAGACCTCCCCCGTCCCCCCTTCCTGAAACCCTCCAGTGTGGCTATTCTGTCATCAGACCCTGTGCTTCCTACTCCTTATTGCCTACCTTTGAGTCACTCTTCCATGCACCTGGAGGACGTTCACTCTGGGCTCACTCCAGCTCTCTCCAACACTCACTACTCTGCCATCTGGCCCTCTTGTCCCTTGCTGCCTTCTCTGGGGATGACCTCCATCCTGTCTCAGTTGTCCATTCCCAGGGTTGTAGCCAGTCTCCCTGCCATAACTGATAACCGCACCCTCCCCATGAGCTCAAATCCAGCATCCTACTCTCACCAGCACCGCCTACTTTGTCAGCATGCTCTCTTACACCCCGACTCCGTCAATCCACTCATCCCACCACATTCTCTCGGTTCCCCTCCCTCTCTTGTCCTTTCCACCAGTGTAGATGCCACACTCCATTGTTACGACCACTCACTGGCATTTACACTCAGTTTTTTACTCCTCTCTTCATTTATCTTGCTCCCCTGGAAAAACACCAGCCCTAATCAAGTCCAATGAGATGGAGATCCACGTGGTACTGGAAAGGGCTAAGAAAAGTCAGCTAAGTCTTGCTTCCCTCTCGTGACCAGCAACCTCAAGCCAGGCCCTGGTGACACCCAGCAACCCAACCACATGTCCCCACCTGACCCCTTTTCTGCTCCCCTGATCATTTCCCATCTTTGCCTCTCTCTTCAAACTTCTAGTACCCCCGCCCCTTCCACATTTTCAGCTGATGACTCTAGTACCTCCTTCCCTGAGAACACAGAAACAAGCAGAAGAGGACTTTCTTACGTTCCCACAGTCACATCTGTCCTCTTCCAATGTGCCTTCCTACCATAGATTTCCTTCCTGACTCTTGAAGGACATGAACCCTTCCAGTGATCACTCCTCTCACTTCTGTACCATCAGCCTTCCTCATGGTGTATAAAGATGCTGTGGTGTCTCCCATCAGAACCTCTCGACTCCACAGCCACTTGTGGTGACCACCTTTTATGTTCTGCTCACTTTTATAGCAAAAATGCTCAAAAGAGTTGTCTATAAACCACATTGTCTTTATCCATTCATTGGTTGAAGTTCATTTACGTTGCTTCCATTGCTATAAACATTCATGTGGTTGTATCACTGTAGTAGGCTGATTTTAAGTCCTTTGGGTATAGACCCAGGAGTAGGATACTAGATCCAATGGTGGGTCCATTCCAAGTTTTCTGAGGAATCTCCATACTGTTTTCCAGAGTGGTTGCACCAATTCACAGTCCCACCAGCAATGTATGAGTGTACCTTTTCCCCACATCCTCACCAATATTCATTGTTATTTGTATTCTTGAAAATTATATAGACACAGGGAATATTACTCAGCCATAAAGAAGAATGAAATTATGGCATTTGCTGATAAATGGATGGAGCTAGAGACTATCATGCTAAATGAAATAAGCCAATCCCTCCCCAAACACACAATGATGGGGTGGGGAGAGTAGAAGTTCCCAGGATTAGACAAAGGAAAATGAAGGGAAGGGAGAGGGGATGGGATTAGGAAAGACAGTAAAATGAATTGAACACAGCTTTCCTATTTCATATATGAATACATGACCAGTGTAATTCAACACCACAAGAATGGGATCCTAATTAGGATAAATTATACTCCATGCACATACAACATACACTCTGCTGTCATGTATGTCTAAAAAGAACAAATGTGAAACTTTTTTTTTTTAAAAAAAGAATTGTCTGTATGGTAGCCACACGTGGCCTTTCTGCACTTGAGATGTGGCTAATTTGATATGAAATATTCTTTAAGTATAAAACATACAACGTATTTCAAATATTTAGTACAAAACAAAGAATAGCAAATATTTACAGAATGATATGTTTATTTATTACATTTTTACATGATAATATTGGGCCAGATAAATTATACTGTCACAGTTAATTTCACCTGTTTTTGCTTTTTTAATGTGGCTATTGGAACAGCTAACTTAAACACAGGCTCCCATTTGTGGCTTGCCTTAGATTTCTGTTAGATGGGGCTCTCTTTTCTCACTGTTTCCACCTTCCCCCATTTGCTCATGGACTTACCTGTTAACCTTTTACCCCATCACTCTGCTAAAGCAGATGTTTCTAGATGTCCGAGGTCCTCATTTCGCTAACCCAGTGGCCAGTTGCTCATGGTGGTATCTGCAGCACTGAGGCTGGTACCCATCACCTTCTCACTGCCACTTCCTTTGTGGGCACCATTCGCTCCACTCTCCTCTCCTGCAAGCCACTCCCATCAGTCTCTTTTGTTGGTTTCTCCTGCGTTGACCTTTCAGTCTTGGAGGACCCCACCGCTCAGTCCTTTTACACCTTCATCTCTACACCAGCCTCCTAGGTGATCATATGATTTGACTTTAAATACAATGTGTCTATCTACCAAATTTTTTCTTCAGCCTGGACTTTCAGACACATTAACCCGCGTCACAGTACTCATTCAGATGTCCAGTCAATGGCTCAAGCATCAGCAAGTTAGCAGTAGAATCCTGGATATCCATCCTGCCATATCTCATCCTTCCTGCTCAAGACAAAAATATCGGAATCATCTTTCATTCCTCTCTTTCCTCACATCTCACAGCCAATCCCATTACTTGATCTTAAAATGAACATAGAACTCAACTCCTTCTCATTGCCTCCGACACCGCTGCCAGGTCTAAGCCCCCAACGTGTCCCTCCTGGGCTATTGCAACAGAATGGAGCCTGTCACATAGTAGTTGTTCATATTTATTGGAGGAATAACTGTAAAGGACAGACACACAGCGTTAGAAAGGAATTCTCTGTGTCTCCATTATGTGTGGATTGTTCCCACTTGAAATTCTTCATTTAACCATTCAGGCATCCACTCGATCAACATATATCTCCTGAGCAACCATTATGTGCCAGTACAAAATAGATTCCTATGGAATTATTTATTTGTACCCAGAAGTAAATCAAAGAGAGGGGATTTCCAGGAGCCAGGGGGTGGGAAGGGAAGGCATGTGGCTGTTGGCACTCATGGGAGGTGGAACTAGGATGTTGTGGAGGGGTCAGAGGGCATCCCAGAAGAGACAGCCAGCGTCACCTGCCTTACACATCTGTCCAGCACCTCCCAGCTTGAACAAAGCCAGATGTGTTCTCAAGGCAAATGTTCTGTCCCTCACCTTGTGCAGCCCCCTCTAGGCTGTGGTGACACTCTTGGAGAGAATGCCAACTTCCAGCCATCCGTGGGCCCTCCCATGTATACACCTAGGTGTGTGCATGGCCTGCTAGTACCGGCTTGTTCAGAGATTGGAGCCCCAGCAGGTCAATGAAACCTGGTCCTGACAGCTCTGCTCTCTCTCTTCTCTAGGCTTTTTAGTGCAATTTTAGAACAAGCAACCAAAGCAGATGGGGCCAATGCTCTCGGAGGGAAAGGGGCTGGATTTGACGTGAAGGCGCTGCGGGCTTTCCGTGTGCTGCGTCCCCTGAGGCTGGTGTCTGGAGTCCCAAGTAAGTAAAGCCGTTATTCCTGTTCACCGTGGTACCTTGTACCCAGCTTCCACTTCCTTTTGCTGCACTGCCAGGAGCACTCCACAAAGGAACCTGATTTCCTATAAAAGGAGGATGTTCTTACAAATGAGTCCCTTGTTTTAAAGAATCCAAGTTCTGATGCAAGTACCTCGATATGCATGTGGTCCCAGCTCCTATAAACACCTGGGAAAAAGTTCACAACGGACACATAGCCAAAGGAAGACTGCCGACACAGAGCACAACCCCACAGTCATCTGAGCAGACCCCACCAGGCCCTGAGCTTGGAATTTAAATATATTGGCTGCAGAGGAGCCAGGAGAGGGGTATTTATTGCAGCCAATGAGATCATCTGTACTTTCTGTATTTTTCCAGAGAACCTCAGGAGAGCATTGCTGGGTGTTCTAAAAGCTCTCTCTTGCCATTTCTCCCAGCACTGTCTTCCCCTCCTTCTTTCATGTCAAATCGGGCATCCCAGGCTTCAGGAGCCTGCTGTCATTGTGGATCCTATCATTGTGAATCCTATCATTGTGAGAACTATTTTTTCCCAAGAAGTGGTACTCAGCTTCTTGAAATACTGTCCACCAAGAGATTGGCCACATTGACAAGTTCCCTTCGATCCCCTATGGATGCACCCCAAAGAGCAACTTTGGAGACCTGAATCAGCTCCAGTATACCCCAGCCCCTGTGCCCCCCGGGAAGAATTCTGAGCTTATTTTCTGAGACTTTACACTTTCAGGTCAGCACCTTCAGGCCATGACTCATGACACAGGAGACACCTAAGCTTGGGCTGGAACCAGACCAGCTTGGAGATGGGGGCAAGAAACAGGAAAGTAAAGAGGTCCCCTTTGCTCCCTGTGCCACACACTGAGCACCTGTTACATGTGTGCGGCTTGATGATATCTCATAGTTGTAGAAATTTCACCACAGAAATGTGAAGGACCCTTTATCAACCTGTCCATTCCTTTTTGTACATTCTTAGAATAGTGAAAAAATCTTACCATAACTTTAAGTAGCAGCTGAGCCAGGACAAGACCACGTCTCCTGACTTCTAGTCCCAACTCATTTTCCTATCATACTTCAGTACCTTCTGTGAAGAATGAAGGAGTATGCAATCCTTGATTGTCTTAATTTTACACAGACCTCTGTCTCTTCAATTATACTAAAGGCCCCTTGAAGCCCAGGATTATGCCTTAAATTGTCTCTGATTGCTGCAGTCTTGCCTAGATAGGTCTCTAGGCAAGGTAGGGAAATTTACTGAATAATTAAAGCAGGAGGCTGACTGTTTTCATTGCAGAACTCCCTGGGTAAAGACTGTGGATCATCTTAAGTTCAAAAGCAACATAGAGATAAGCCTCACAAGAACAATCATAGTATATTTTCTCTACTTGGATATGACCATCTTAGGAATAGAAACAATATATATGAATATATTTATATGATGGCCAACACCCAACTTTACTTTCTTGAAGTCTAAGTGATTGGATTTCTTTATCACTCATCCATAACTCAGTAGACTGACATCAGGATGTGCAAGGGGAGGGTGAGAGTGACTTGGAACATAACTTTAAGGTGCTTATGATGATACACCAATGTGTCAGCAATAGGAACTATGAATTAATCCCAAACTTCAGACAATGGAGCTATCATGGACATAATAAATCTTATCTTGTTATGCAAGTGCTTATTAGGGGCCTTCAGCTTCACAGCCTCATGTTGGGTGTTGGGGCATCCCATAAAGATACTTGTGGACTTGCATCTGAGGAATCTGAGAGTCTAATAAGAGAACACCAGTCAGCTGTTGCTGCGGGAACAAATGATCTCAAACTCTCAGTGACCTGCAACCAGACATTCATACCTGGCTCATGGCACATAAGGATGTTGTTCAGCTGCAGTTTTTTTGAATTCAGCTGGGCTGTGGGCTGGACCAGGTTCTGTGTGCCATCTAATTCCAGAATACAGAGAATGGTGGCCAGAGAAGCCATCATGTAACTCATGTTGACCTCAGGACAGAGACAGATGCTCACTACAGGAGGCATAGAGCAACACCACACAAAGAATTTCAGACTCATGCTCACATGTGGCTGATAACACAGCTGCTCACACTGCATTGGCTAAAGCAGGTCATATCACTAATCCCCAATATAATGGAACTAAGAAGTATAGTCAGCTCTCACATCCACCATCCCGTACCTAAGGATACAACCAAACGTTGATCAAAAATTCCTTAAAAAATGTGTCTATCCTGAACATGTGCAGACTTGTTGTCTTGTCATTATTACCTTAACAATAAACAGTAGTGTAACAACTATTTGTGGAACAATGACATTCTATTTGGTATTATAAGTAATCTATGACATGATTTAAAGTATACAGGAGGATGCATAGATTATATATGAACATTGTGCCATATATATATATATTTTAAATACATATATTTTTTAAACCCTGAGTATCCTTGGATTTTGGTATTTACGAGAGGTTCCAGAACCAATTCCCCCTGGATATTGAGGAACAATTGTATTCTGTCCCTGTAAAGAAGCATGGACAAATAATTGTGAAAAAACAGTACAATCTGCCACAAAGAAATTGAAGGGATTATTATCAACAGAAATAGTTACAGTAATTACTGTAGTACAGAGATTCTTAATTAGAGATGCACATGGTTGAGAGCTACTCAGTGCATTAGAAGGGAGGGTTAGATTAGTTTGGGTAGCTAAGGTTCCACTACAGAAGAAACTTCCTAAAGAAAGTGCCTTGACTTCATCCTCACTTAAGTAATGGTAGAACTGTATTATAGTCAGTAAGTGGTAACATTCCTCAGAATTCTCATGGAGAAGGTACAGACATAACAGAGAACCTCAAATAGAGAGGCCAAATCTTATTTGCTAATGCAGTTCAAGATGATATTTTCATCCTTAAACTGGGATGGTTTTGCAGCAGTGGGAAACCTTGCTGGTAGCTCCATGCTTATGCATAAGACCAAACACTTTGTCTTGATTTTATGGATCACCAATAAAAAGACAACAGCTCTTCTTGGAGCACTTTTTTGATACCAGGGATTGAACTCGGGCCCTCACCCCCTGAGCCACATCCCCAGCCCTGTTTTGCATTTTATTTAGAAACAGGGTCTCACTGAGTTGCAAAGCACGTCACCATTGCTGAGGCTGGCTGTGAACTCGTGATCCTCCTGCCTCAGCCTCCTGAGCTGCTGGTATTACAGGCATGTGCCACCACAACCGGCTTTTATCCAGCTTTTTCCCTTTTTGAGGAGTTTCAGCAAACTCCCGCAAAAGAGTCACCTCTCCCTGTTGCCCCCAGTGCTTGTCCTGTCATTCTCTCTTGAATGTTCTCCAGTCAGGCTTTCGCTCTCACTGCTGCACCAAAGCACCCCTTGTCAAGACCCCCCGTGATAGGAAAGCAAAGAGGTCCCCTTTGCTCCTGTGACATGTGTGCTGCTTGATGATATCTCATAGTTGTAGAAATTTCACCACAGAAGTGGGAAGGACCCTTTATCAACCTGTCCATTCTGTGATCTCCACGTGACTGCACCCAGTGGCCGTTTCTCCAGGGCCGTTGCATTCAGTCTGTCTGTAGCATGAGTCTAGCTGCTGAAGTCAGCTGTCCCTTGTTGGTAAACCACTACCATCACTTGGCTTCTGAGACACTCTTCTTTTTTAGCTCTGTCCTTAATTCGCTTGGTGAATTCCACTTCTTGGAATCCTTGCTGAGTCTCCTCTTCATCTTCTCACCTTCTTAACATTGGAGAGCTCAGGGATAGATCCTTGCACTCTTTTTTATCTACACTCATTTCTAGCTATCATGTCTCATTTAGCCTCATGGCATTAAATATCACCTGTTTATCTTCCAACAACGACCAACTGTATGTTGTCATCCCAGACCTCTCCCCTAAACGCAAGACTTGTATATCAATAGTTGGCTCCATTCCTTTTATCAAATATCTAAGAAGTATCTTGACCTAAGCATCTCCATATTGGTACTTTCCATCTTCCCCAATTCTTTCCTGTGTCAGTAACCTCACCCTTCCAGCTTCTCAGGCTAAACATCTGGGACTGGTTTCTTTTTCTCACTTCCTGCATTCAATCCATTGGAAAATGATATCAGCTTTACCTTCAAACTATGTCATTAATCTGACGGTTTCTTCCCACCCCCTCCATTGCCAGTCGCCATCATCTCTCACCTGGGTTATCACTGTAGCCTCTTAACAGGATTCTCTCCTTCCACCCCTTCCCCGTCACAACCCAAGCTTCACACAGCAACCAAAATGAACCTTTTAAAATCCAAGTCGATCTTGTCAGTGCCCTGCTCAGAACCCTCCCAGGCTTCCCTGAATTCCTGAATGAGAGCCCAAATCCCACAGGCCCTGGATCTCGTCTCTCTCCTCTCTGACCTCATCTCCTTCCACTCTTCCCTTCTCTCTCTTTTTCTCAGCCTCAGTGAACTCCTTGCTGTTCCTCCAACACTCTAACCCCGTCTTTGAAGGACCTTTGCACATGCTGCTCCTTCCTTCTGGAATGCCCTGCACACGGCCATCCACACATGTGCCTGCTCTCCTGCTCACCTCCTCAGTCTCTGTTGGGGTATCAGCTCCCTCCTAGGGTGCCATCACCACCCTATTCCAGTTACCCCCTTCCCATTTCCTATGCCTCTTCTCTGCTCCGTTTTGCCCGTCTCACTTGTCATCATGCGTCATACTCTGCATTTTCTGGTTCATTTGTTTATTACTTCTTGCCTAACTAAAATGTAACCTCCATGGGGAAGCAGTTCAGGGTTGCTTGTTCACAGCTGTGTCTCTGGTATCTACAGTGGAAGAAAAATATTTGTCGAATGAATGGACATCATCACATGAGCGCCCAAAGCTGTGGGGCATCACTACCCACAGCGTTACCGAGAGCTACCCAGCTCACCAAAAGAGTGCTGATGCTAAAGACTGTTTATGTTTATGTGCTTTCTTTAGCCTT